CCTGCCCCGTGTCCTGTTTGGAGTAGTCCGTTCATATCCTGCCGGCTCGGTATCCGGCGAGAGGCGAGGCACACACAAATGAAGCCTTGATGCCATCAAATCGTGTTTGGTGATGGCCGGTGATAGCATTCCCTGGGCAGGTGGGGTAGGTGTTTGTCGGCTTGTGTCCATTGATTGATTTTGCCCTCCTGCAAAACAAACTAATAAGCGAACGCAAAGACCGGCCATCACAGGGACAGCGAGCCGTGACAGGGCTTTTATGGCAGTGCAACAGTGCGTATGCGTGTTGCACATTACACATACGCCGGGAGTGGCGCGGCGACAAGTGCATTTATAACTGCAGCAATCGCTTTTAAGCGCCCAACAATGCAGCTTCCACGCATGAACAGTTCGCAGCTGGATCAAAGTTACCGGCGCACACCGCACACACGCACATGGCATTGGTTCACACACCCCGTCGATACGTATTCGCTATTGTCAACCAAACAACCAACCAAAGAACACACACCTCGCTGGGTGGGGGGAAGGTAGGCAGGTAGTTGGGAAGGAACATCTATGGATGAAAGGCCCCTCCAGCTGGCATGTGCCGAATTGTAGCGGATTTATTCGATATGTTACTTACAAATTGTTACAGTCGTATAAGCGTGAAAAATCTTTATTTCCTATTTATACTTTTGAAGTTTAGTTTACACAAAATAAATATTTGTTAGTACTTAACTAGTAATTTTAACAATTACTTTTAATACATATATAAATTCCAAAATCTAAAAAGCTTTATTTTCTGTATTCCATCATTTTTAGCCAACAAAGTTAGCATTTTAAATTAATTTTAAAGAAAATTGGCTTATAATATTTTAAGATTTCAATTAAATTTCATTAAATTTAGTATACAATTTTTTTATATTTTCTTTGCTAAATTGTATCTTTTACAATGAACGTTTTTGACATACCAAAGCGACACCTGGCGAGATACTTGCCCAACATTTGACAAATTCGAGCTTAGTACTTTTTCCAAGTTGACAAAAGGTTGCGCTACCCTGAAAAAATAGTTTTACTTAATTTTTTATTCTTTTTTAACGCAAATCTTTTAATTTTTTATTTTTCATTTTATTCTCCAGTTTATAAAGATTTAATAAATATATAATTTTATATTCCCATTCGGAGATATATACATTTATATATACATTCTACAGTTTACTGTAACTATTCTATTAATTCTACTTGGTTTCTTAGCATTTGAAGAGAATTTTCAAAAAGAATATTACATGTCTGTAAAAAACGACTGTTAAAAGTATCTGTAAAAAGTATCTGTAAAATGTAAAATAAAATCTATGTAAAGTGTAAAGTTTGTGTTGCACAAGGAAAAAAAAATTAATTAACCTATGGCTTAAAAAAAATATCGTAAACTTCGATAGCTTTATTTGATATGTCCAAAACAAGATTGAATTATTTTTTTTTAGTTCTGCTAATTTGTATTTTATAATTAAGATTTCGATTTTAAACCAACAAATAGAAATTATATCGTAATATTTAATAAATTAAAATTTAAATGTTCTCTATTAGTTAAAAACCAAGCATCCTCAAAACGACTTTTTGAATATCCCACGCCTCACTCCCTATAATAAACACTCAAAAGCTCGTCCAGGACATGCGCACAAGGATTCGTCTGACCTTGGGTACAACAATAAAACCCGAGTGCCGGAGAGCAGCCAACGCAAAGCTGATTGTGCCAAGCCGAAAATTTATGCGCGTCCAACAAAGGCATTTGAATCGCCGTCGCGGCGAAGCAAAAAAATACTCAGAAAAAAAAGCACAGAAAAGCAGGAGGAATCCGAGACGCATAAGTGCCTGGCCAGGCCCATGACCAACCTCCAAAGACCCTTGATGAATGCCTGAGCGTACACGACCAGGGGTTGCGAGTGGCCAAGTGTGTAATTTGCTGTTCGGAAAGGTTCTCAGGCAACGTGGTTCCTCTTATCAAAGAGCTTGAGGAGGGAATGCCAAGCTCTGCTCTGCGGATTGCTCTCTCCTCTGCTGAGTCGGATGCTGGTGATGCTGTAACCACGAGCACGCCGTCAGTAGAACGCGAACTGTGCCCACGACAACGGAACGGGTCTTGAGGCTTGCACACATTTCATTCCTTTTCCTAATAAAAAACGTAAAACTATATATAAAATTTAAACTAGAAGTTCAATTAAATAAAATAAAGAATATATATTTTATTAAACCTCTATAGTTTATAAAAATGTGTAAAAGAATTTAAAAACCGCTAGGCTTAAACTCACGGAAGTTCTTAAGCCAAAACAGAAAATCAATTTCATTTTGTGTGTAAGTATCTCAACGAAACCGTGACATTTTGTCCTGTGTGAGGTTATTTTTGGTTTTGAGCGTCACAAATGGCAATCAGTGACGTCACAATGGAAAGGAAGCTATGCCCAATGCCACCCACTCACTCACTCATCAGCTTCCGAAAAGCTTCGCCAGACACTTTGGCGCCCCTTTTTGTGCTTAATCAGCCAAACCATTCGATTTTAATATTAATATTAATATATATACCATAATATAAGCCAGAGTCTGATGCAATGTCAGCCAGCGATTTGGTCAGTTGTCATTCTAGATAGAAAAAAAAACGTCACGAAACGTGAGATTTCCATTTCCCCACTTGAAATGCCAGCTAAGTACCTGGGCTTAGAGTCGATCTCTAAATTAATGTGCGTTGTCCGGGGGCAGGTGGAAACATAATACCCGCGCGGCCCACCTATTCCCAGCAAGGTGTGTTTTGCCCCTCAACTTATTGGTCCCTGGCACGCCGGCAGTATCGATACCAAAACACTCTTTCTGTTTCATTTTTTGGGTCAGTTCAAGGCCCCGAGAAGGTGAGACAATACCTTGGCCTTGACAGAGAGCCTGAAATTTATTGTTAAATCACAAAGAGTGCGATTTAATGGAAGCGCTTAGGCTGAAAACCCGCCATTTGTCAACACAAACAGATGTCAGAGATTAAGCATTAGGTATACAAATTAAAGTAAGAATTTGCAGTCTGTATTTGTATATATTTTGTGGGGTAAATTGAAAATAATTAGTGCGATTAGCATTTTACTCTCTAAAAACTTTGGGGAAAGTTGCAAGTGCCGAGAAAATTAAGTAATTAAATATTCAGTCAAGCTGATATCTAACAGAATAAAGATATATTTATTGTTAGAATATATTTTTTAATCTAATATAATTTTCTTACCTGAATAAAATCATATAATAATCAAGCTATATAAGGTTACTAAATCAATTGACTAACGTCTGAGCTCCCTCTTAAAGTGCCACACTTCACGAGGCCGCAAACGTCGAGCTCCAATTATCCAGACAAGATATGGGTACTGTTTTTTCAGTACCTTCTAACCGGGCCTGGCCTGGTCCGTGTGACGTCGCTGTACGCACCGCCAATTGTCGTTAATTCAAGCTTATATACACAAATTACTAATAAAGGGGAGATTAAGCAACTCGATGATGGGCCACTTAGCAGTTTGGGAACCAAACCGGCCTGCGGAACAGATCAAAATATGTATCGACAGCGGGATCAGAGACTGGGATGAGAAACGAATCGGATTCGTGTCTCAGCCTTTGTTTCTGTGGTCAATAAACTCGAATGGCCCGAAGCCAAATTTAGGGTAAAGTAACGCTCAAAAGCGGCAAACAAACTTTGCTCGGATAATAATACAAGTTATTTAAATAGATTTCACAAAGAAATTGCAGGGAATTCTCAGAGAATCGCCGGCGCGACGCCATTGTACTTCAGTTGGCGGTGACAGATTTGAATTAAGTCATTTGTGTGTGGATGCAGCTCGTACGCGGCGCGGATATATTCAATTATAGATCGGGGCAAGTGGGCAGGAATGAGGATTTGAATATGCGCGCGAAAATCAGATCATCTCGCATCTAATTTGCATGTCTAAGCGTTGCCAGCAGCCTATGTGTGAACGCAGAAAGACAGACACAATTGGTCTTGCAAAAGATACTTTTGTATCTCAAAAGCCCCTTCCCAGTTCCAGGGAAAGGTACACCCTTAGTTCTAACTAGTCGGTGATTGTTACCACACTTGTGCAAACACATAGAAAACCTTCAACTAAATTAGAGTTGCTCTTGAGCTTGTTCACGTGTGCCTCTCTGTATCTGTATCTGTTAGATAAAAGCCAGCATGTACCCTTTTCCGCCGCCTTTCGAGGCAAACACGAGATAAAAGAACCACTTTTTCGGCAACCACCGAATCGCAGTCGAGACCCGAAAAAACAAAAGGTAAGCGTACATCGACCACGATCACGGGAACAAACAAACAACGCGGCGTCAGAAACTTGTTTCGGGTAAATTACAAATTCAAAAACGTTCAGAATGCCGGTTAGAAACAAGCGAGCCTCTCGGCCCAACATCGAACAGGTTCGAAGTAGCGCAGACTCGAGCTTTTTTAGGGTCTAACAAAAAAAATCTCAAACCATTAAGGTTTATAGAAGTAAGATTTTGGTAGTACTATAGTTTTTATTTCATCTTAAATGATTTACTAGGAATTAAGGCAGAATCCTTACTAATTAACACACATATTAAATTTATGGTTATCAGAAAATCATCAAAAACGCTCACTACTTGTGCTATTTGGACAGTCACACTGTCCTTACTCTTAGTTACAGAAAACGTACTTTTCTGAGAGCAAGTACCGGAACTTAAAAAGATTTACCATACAGTTTTAGAGCCCTAGAATAAAGAATATTTTAAATGACATCTCTGATAAACTAAAAACAATAATAATATAATAATAAAAAATCTTTTAAAACTATAAATCTTCTAAAAAGTCATAAATAGAGTTCACATATAGTACATACATACCTTAACAGTAGGTGATAGCCAACAGCCGACCAGTCCCGAACCCGACCAATCTCCGGCAGAGATTTCCGCCGCGAAGATGCCTCGGAGCGGAGCAGCCGCCGCCGGTGGTTGTCAGTCTGCTATACCCGCTGACAGCGAGCGGTTCTCGATTCCGTGCACCCGTTCTCGTTCTCGTTCTCCGCCGGAACTTTTACTGGCTAACACAAGGCAGTTGGCAGTCAGAACCCTCTCTTGGCTTTCACACGGCGCGAAAAGTGCTCGAACCTCTTGAGCAGGTAGCAAAGCCTAATCTCCTCTTAAGTACTCGGCGTTGGGCAAATAGCATAACATTTAAGCAGATAAAATATATTTTTGCTCTTCCGTGAGCAACACTTGTGTTTGTGATCAAAATATATACAAAAATCCAGCAAAATTAAGAAAAAGGTGTAAATAAAATGGGAAATCGACCAATCGGGAAGGCAAACGATTAATTAAAACGCATGAGGCGATTTTGGCAACTCGTAAAAACGCTATCAAGAACTGCCCACAACAATTTATGTGTGCATATATACCGAAAATGTTAAATTCTCGTTTAAAAGTTATATTTAAATTATAACTCGGACCTGTTGATGCCTGGCATGCGACTCGAGCCGGTTTTTTCTTATTTTGATTAGGATTTGAATACATTTAATTCAAAATGAATAAGCTTTGATAAGAATTTTTAGTTTCGTAAAAATGCAATCAGTAAATGGAAAATAATCTTGTTTTGGGAAATTAAAGTTCAACCAACTGAACTTTTGAAAGAATAACAATTCGAATGTATTTATTGTTTATAAAATCATACCTCCTGAGACTTAATTAACACCTTTGATTATCTCAGGCTAATGAAGAGATCAAACCGACTTTCTTATTTATGTAAATTCACCATTGTTTCTTCTTTCTCTTTAATTGCGAAGTAAATCACTGTAATTTTCAATATGTGCTCATAATTGTTACTTAGATGGCCCAGCAAATTATCAGTATCATGTTTTGAGCACAAAAAACCAACTAATTTTTCCATAATTAGCTTCAATTAGTTGATAGCCAGAGCTATGTTTATATTTAGCACTTGCCTCGAAATTGATAGCACATCTTTTAGTTCGGCAACAGTAATTTATAAAAGCATTTCTGCTTACTATAACAAAATTAATGGATTTTTTCGGTTCTTTTGTTGAAGTATATATTTTACCCTGTTGTGTTTACGCTTCAGGTGCGCACACGAACATCATTTTGGATAGTGAATCAATAGATTATGGAGTATCTTCATATAGGCTAGATTTGGGTCAAGTAAACGGGTGAATGTTTTGCCATTATGAGGTAAAAGTCCATTATATATCAGCTAATTGCTCGGAATTGAACTAATGACTTGCCCCGGCGTTTGCCTTTCACACTTTGGCTTAAAAAGAAATCCAAAAAGACCCCTCGAACCAGTGACTAAGCCATGATGCAAGCCCAGTTGCATTGTAAATTCCACAGATGCAATTTAGTGGTAGTATTTCCCGCTCGGATTTCTCAGGAATTCCGCACTAAATAATTGGAATACCCCGATTTTTCATTACAATCCATAATTTATTCGCATTGCGTCAGGCGAGAGATCTGGAGTAATTTGAACTTTTTCGACCGTTCGGCTTGGCTGGTCAACTGTTAAGCCAAGAACATCGTCGGTTTAGACCAATTAGTTGTCGAGGCAGTGTTATAGATCTGGTGTTCATTAGTTTGTTCACCTGTTTGTTTTGCTTGTGCCATTCTACCAGTTATTCCATAACACACACACACAGAATTTCATTCTGTGTTATTCTCGCCTCTGATGTTATGCTAATTTATGCGGAGCGTGGGTCCAGCTTTCGCTTTGAGGAAGTGGCCGCCACCCCCTTTTCCCTTTCTACCATCTGGTCGGTTTTGTTGGTCATACTAAAGTAAACAAGTGGCGTGACCTAATCCCATAAGTGGGCGGGTTCCGGCGGGAATCACTTCCTTGGCTTTGTGCCGGGTTCATAGGCCCACACACGTGCCGTTGCGTCAAAGGTTTATCAATCAATCTTCAGGCTCCGTCAAACTTTTGCTGAAATAATAAAATGTCTAGGGGTTTAACGAACCACGATTGGAAATTTTAATCTCGAAGGCATTGCTTCCTCGTCGGCAATCAAAGAAGAATATCAATTCACGCTTGAATATTGAAAAAATCTCAGACAGGGAAGCCTTAAATATTTATTATATAAAATTAAAGCTCAACCTTTTCAAGTAAAAATTTATATAAAAAGGCCTTTAAATTGAATGCTAAAACTCCCAGAATAGCTTGAAAAATATTACATTTTCTTTTTTTTTTTTGGTTTCTCTCTCTGCACTTAATACTTTAAAAGCTTGTGTCGAAAACAAAGGTATATAAAAGTCAAAGTAAAAGTAGAGCAGATTTCGTTACTTCTCCTCAGCCAATGACCTTTAATTACCTTTCACTCCCAAGAAAAACAAAAAAAAAAAAACAAAAAAACAGAAATGAGAATTACAAAAAGGAGAATCAGTGTGAAGAAACACAACCTTCTCGCGAATTCTCCAAGCTGAGATTATGAAATGGCATGTGAACATATACGTGGAACATTAAATTGAGTTATCTGATAAATCCCAAACAAACATTGCTCAAGAAATTAACAGAATCGCAACTTGGCACTTAATCTTGAATTTAATATTTCAGAGTTTATCTCGATTTAGCTTTTCTTTTCCCCTTTAAGAGCTCGCAATTAGCACGCCATTTCTCAAAGTCAATGACAGAAAAAGCCCATCCGTCACCGGCTGAATAATTAGTATCATTATAAAAAGCAAGTTCATTAGGGAAAATGTATATGAGAATTGAGGAAAAATATTTTTTCATTTACAATAGTGTACTGGATAAAAAAAGAATTTACTAAAATGTTAAAGCAACTAAATACTGGCTATTTATGGGTCTATAAAACCATATTGTATACAATCATTAATCGATGGGAGAGAGAAACAGTGTAAAAAATTGTATACATACATAAAAAGATATAAACAGAGTATAGTAGTAGCCTTTTTGTTAAAAGAATATATAATTATCAAGAAGTCAAAGCTTTAATGCATGCATTTATTGTTTAATTTAATATATTTACAGGCTTATAAGGTTATATAAATACCTATAAATTACAAATTGTTATGGATTTATTAATAGCTTGGAATTTTGAATTATCATATTCGTAAGTAGGAGGCTTAAAGCTGTTTAAATAAAAACAGTAAACTGAATTAATGACCCAGTTAAGCTTTACTAAATATTATGCCTAGGCTTTTCATTATAAGTTATAACTTTATTTACCCCTACCGATCAATTCCTTAACTCGCTTCCATTTCTTTCAGGTTACTTTTTAAAATCCAAGTGCTGACAGCATGGAAACCGAGTCGCTAAATCGCAAGAATTCCTCGCGGAAGAGCTCGATAGTAAATGGCAATGGCGATGCATCCACAAAGTTGACCAACGGAGATGGTGGAGACGGCGGCGATGGCGGCGGAGGAGAGGTTACCCTAAAGGCCAAGATGAGCCTGCTCAATGGCTGCACCGTCATCGTGGGCTCCATCATAGGATCGGGTATCTTCGTCTCGCCCACCGGTGTGCTGATGTACACGGGCAGTGTTAACCTGGCCCTCATCGTTTGGGTCATTTCCGGTCTCTTCTCAATGGTGAGTGCCGTCCCGCTTCGTTAATTCGATTAGTGGGGCAACGTGAGCAGCTCATAAATATTGATGGCCTGGTTTGCAAATGGGACTAGGTCTCAGACACCTGTTGCCAGAGCTGTTCCAGGTGTAAATAACTTGCTGGGGCGAACAGCTGGCAGCCAGGGAAAGTGCGAAGTTCAAGTGGGTGATACATGGCAGGACTCTCCCGCTCAATTACGAATGCTGGCAGGGTGCCACTGCGTCGCTTAATGAAATTATTGAAATTCCTGCACCCAATTCAGTTACCCAGCCACCCACAAGAACATGACAAGCCCTTGTCAAAGGCACGCACTGCGGCTTGACTTCGCCCACGATTCAATAAAATTGCGTATACGCAGCATTGCCAGTGACAGATGACAATGATTGGGCTCTCGCACTGCCAAAACACTTTAAAGAAAAAGGCACAGCCTGATGTTGACAACAGATGAAATTTTTCTTTAAAATATGAAAATTATTTTATATAAATTTAAAAAAGAAACCCTACTATTTAGCTTTAAATTACTTTTATTATATTTTAAAAACCCGAACTTCAGTAATTTTGTTGTATTAATTTCCTAGGTTGGCGCCTATTGTTATGCGGAGTTGGGTACAATGATCACCAAGTCCGGTGCTGACTACGCTTACATCATGGAGACCTTCGGACCTTTTATGGCCTTTATCCGTCTCTGGATTGAGTGCATGATAGTGCGTCCCTGTTCCCAGGCCATTGTGGCGCTAACCTTCAGTACCTACGTCTTGAAGCCCTTCTTCCCGGAATGCTCGCCGCCGGAGGACTCCGCCCGTCTCCTGGCCGTCTGCTGTATCCGTGAGTATTACATCAGTTTTGTTGGGCGGAAGAACCTCCGTTGGGCCAAGGGGGGGCCTGCAGCCGCTATCAATGCACTCCGCGTACTTGACCTATAGATTAGACACACAATTTAAATGCATCCCCTGAGTATAGAGCAAATAAACACGCTGAAAGAGTTTGCCACATGAGGCTTATCAGTCAGTGTGCCAGAATAATGGTTCGCAGGGGAGGCGGGGCGACAGTGGTTTGTTTTTGTTTTAGCTTGGAAACAAATCCATACAGATTGGACTGCATATGGGAAATAAATGTATATATAGATTTTTTTATAGTCGATAAGAGAGTTTGAAAATAAATTGGAGGTCTCCGATATATGTTAATCACACAAATTCTTTTTGATAGATCGAAACAATACAAAGACTTCAGCTTTTAAGATGATTAAAATAAAATTGGATAATTCTATATAGATATTTAAACGATTATGGATAATATTATACATACATACCTTACTTATATCAATTACAAAGCTAAATATACAGCAGCCATTTTCTTAGTATATAAAAACATTAAGATAAACTTCTTCAATAAATAATTAAGTCTGGGATTCTCCCAAAAAAGCGATTAAAAACCATTTCACGATTGCGATGTGTATTGAATTTATAAAAAAAAAATCATTTGTTAAGCTTTTATTTCGCTTGAAATGGCGATAATAAAAAGCCCTCAGTTTAATGAACTTTAAGCCGAATTAAAAAAGTATGGTGAATAATCGTGGAAAGTCATTTCCCGATTATCGCTAGATTTTCCACATTGCCCAAACCCACTTGTTGATAGTGCCAGATGGCGATTCCACCCATTACTTATTTAATAGTGATTTAATTGTGCGGAATCAAGTGCGTTTGCCTGGGACAATAGTCGAAGCAATGCAATAAATAACGAGTTGTCACATTGTCACATGTAAAACCTCGCGTTATTACATCACCCACATGGGTCGTTCGCATCTGTGGACTTATATCTTTGGCGTGACTTTAAAGTCGTGATGGGCTCCGGCTCCAATGTGGGTTAAGCGGTCTTCTTAGCCCATAATATATGTATTTTCATTTTATTTTGCAGTCGTGCTAACCCTGATCAACTGTTGGGACGTTAAATGGGCCACCGCTGTGCAGGATATCTTCACATATGCCAAAGTAAGTCGTTCTAGATTGGATTTCCCCCCGGGTCTGGGCTCATCAGTATCTCTCTCTCTCTCTTCCCGGTTAGCTGCTGGCCCTGTTTATCATCATTGCCACTGGCATGTACCAACTATATCTGGGCAATGTCCAGTACTTTACATTCGAGAACACAGACACCAAAGTCACATCCCTGGCCCTGTCCTTTTACTCGGGACTCTTCGCCTACAACGGCTGGTAAGCGGCTTAGACGGGGTCCCTTGGAGGGACAAGGACACTAACTAATTGGATTTATTTGTTCTGCCGTTGACAGGAATTACTTGAACTTTATCATTGAGGAGCTGAAGGATCCCGTCAAGAACCTGCCCCGTGCCATTGCCATCAGTTGCACGCTGGTCACCGTTGTCTATGTCATGGCGAATGTCTCCTTCTACACCATTCTGTCGCCGGATGAGGTTCTGGGCTCCTCGGCTGTAGCGGTGACCTATGCGGAGAGGGCCTTTGGCATGCTGGCCTGGACCATTCCAGGTGGGTTTACAAAAGGGTATAACTGAAGAAACGTTTTTAACTTTGTTCTCTGTTTTAGTTTTCGTGGCCTTGTCTACTTTTGGGGCTGTTAATGGCATCTTGCTCACCTCTTCGCGTCTCTTCTATGCCGGTGCTAATGAGGGTCAGATGCCGGAGATCCTCACCATGATCCAGATCCAACGATTCACACCCACGCCGGCTGTCCTGGCCATGGCTCTGCTCTCTATGTTGTATCTGACAGTGTCTGATATATTTGCCCTGATCAACTATGTGGGCTTTGCCACCTGGGTGAGTTAGCAAGGGAAGATTATTAATTATAAATAATAAATCTATAATGTATCCCTCCAGTTGAGTATTGGCGTTGCTGTCCTGTGCCTGCCCTGGTTGCGCTGGGCCCAGCCCAATCTTCCGCGTCCCATCCGGGTGCCAATGGTCTTCCCCATTGTCTACCTGATTGCCACCATGTTTGTGACCGTGGTGCCGATGTACGCCAGCCCTGTGGAGACGGGTTATGGCATCCTAATGATCCTCTCCAGCATTCCCGTCTATTTGGTGTTCATTGCCTGGAAGAATAAGCCCATCTGGTTCCAGAAGTGCATGGGTAAGTTGTGATGATGAGTACTGGGGGACCTGAACTCCACCAGAAGCCAGGAGCTGCTTGTTTCCTCTGATTTTTTTCACTGATTCACGCTGTGCTCCTACCCAAAAAACGTGTTTTCAATATTCTAGGCGGACTGACACAAGCCCTACAGAAACTGATGATGGTTGTGCGTCCCAAAGCGGCGTCAAAGGTTTTTAGTTTGCTATTTATCCTAGTTTTACTTTGGTTTAACACTCAACTCGCCCACATCCACACAGATTGCCTGCCTCAGCACTAACAACAACTTCTAGATTGGTTAATTCCTAACTTACTAACTAACGACCAAAAGTTTTGCACCCTCAAAAGTTTTCTTTGCACTTCTAACTAGCTAAATTGTAGATACTACTTATGATTATTCTTTCATATAATTGTTATAAATAATATTTTATATTTCCTTTACTTTCCAGTAAGCCTCACACATCTCCTACAAAAACTGCTCATGGTACTCGGCAAGCAGAAGAAACCAGCTCAGGTGTAAAAAGTAACGAATGTTCTTCGGCCGGCGAATATTTAGAGATTTCAGAGTTAGCCAGCAAGCAGAGGAAAGCATTTATAAGCCACACATTTAACTCTGCATCATGCATTATATAGACAAAGTAAAGCGCTTTTGTGTAACCAATGAAAACACACATACGAAACAAGAAAATATATACTATATATATTTTTATATACACATGTATATGTCCTAAGTTGAAACAAGGCCCAGTGTCCAGTAGGTTTACACACAGATTGAAGCCCAATTAGCTGACAGCTCCTGGACCCGGACTCAATGCAAAGACTGTGAAACGAAAGGGAAATTACAAGGAAACAAGATGTCCGGAGCTGAGGGTTAATTTGGTTGTTTTTTTAAGAGAGAGCAGAACGAGTCTTTTACGATTTTGGAGTATTCTCAAAAACCCACATGAATAAAATTAACTTTAATTTGTTTATCGAACTTCAAACAGATTTTGAAAGCATTTCAAACTATTTGCAATTTAGAAACCAGGCTCTACGCGCAGCTTCAAACTAGTGGAAAAACGCTTCAACATACTCAAAGGAACGTTCTACAGAGCTTCTAATAATAATACTTAAACATTATAAATATTTTAAAACACAGCCGATTTTTCATTGATTTTATTAAGACTAGCTTTAGTGGCACTGCAATTTTATATCATCATCTTCGGTTTAAGTTAAAAACTATGCTTAGTTCGCTCAGTGAGGTTTCATTTGTGCATCAGAGAGAGAGATTACTTCCTGTGACAACTGCCACTCGTACAAATACCCAACTAAACCCCAAAACCATCGCCTAATGCACATATCCAACAGGAGAGACGATTTCAACAGGAACATTGCCAACATACATATTAATACTTAATGAGAAATAACTCTATATGGAAATTGTTGTCTAATTACGAATACGAATCGAATTGATCTAGTATTGATTTTAACATTCATTAGTTGTTGTTGCTTTGAGTGTTTGACAACCAAGTGTTATTCATATAAAAACAAAGAATATTATTGCCTAATTAGCATTCAACTATTTAACTGTTACACACACAGACGTAATATGGAGCCGCAGCTGGGGAATCTGTTTAAACAACTATGAAACATATTGTTGACAATAATATTGTATTTATAAATGTATATTATATTATATATGTATACCCATACGAAACCTCTGTCTTTCTGAAAAAAAAACAAGTAAAGTAAATTGACAATTGAACGGGATTCCTCTTATGTTTTCCTCCAGGAAAATGGAGTTTTTCTAGGCGTCACAGGTGGGAGAGAGTAACATCTAGAAAAACTTCTTATCCCTGGAAATGGTTTAGTCCTACTGGTTAACTACTTATATATTGAACCAAGTGGACTCTCAGGTTCGCAATCTCCCTCTGCTTGAGGGTCTTCTCTGCCTCGGACAACTCGTACTTCTTGGTGCTGATATATACCTTCAAAGTGGATGCGTAGGCTGATTTTTCTGCTTCTAGTTCTAGTCTCTTGAATTCCCTTTGTAAATCATGGTATATTTCCTCACTGGCAGCCCCATCGCCTAGGCTACTTCGCGAACGTGATGCGTCGCCTCCACTTTCGTCTCTTGTCAGGCCCAGATCCTGGTTAATACACCTCAACTCCCGATGGAGGTCCATAGATTTCCTTTTGAAAAGATTCACAAAGTGCTGCTCCATGCCCAGCTTGAGCTGCGTAAACTTGGCATCTATTCGCTTGTACCAGGCGGCCAGGCCATTGTAGTCTTCATCCGAGAACTTGGAAGAGCGCCGACAATGAGCCATCGATATATTGGGAACCGATTTCACCGAGCACCGGGAGGTGCTGTAACGATTCTCTTTACTCAGGCCTATAGACATTTGCGAGGAATAATTCAGGTCGGTTTTAGCCGTTGACTGTCTGCCTTTTTCCAGGGAACTATAGGCCACGTCGGCCAGTTTCAGGACTTTGCGCCGGTAATCACTGAGTTCCGGTACCATTGGCAGCTCGAACATCAAAAGCGCTGGAGTGGTAGTCTTAAAGTCAAAGGACTCCCTCAGGCAATCGTTAAGAAGAGTATTCGAGACCCCTCCACTCTGCCTGCACTGGGGCACACTCTTGAAGAACTCGACCAAGTCCGTTCGATCCTCGCTGTTGAAGATATGGAACACCGACAGGCGAATCCTGTGCTGCTTGGGCTGGCTGTCGCGGTACACAAACTCAAAGTCCAAATAGTCATCGCCAATGCCGCGTCCTCGCAGTCCGGTCAAGTTATTCACAAGCCACTGGTGTAGATCCTTGGTGCTGGAGAAACTCTTTCCATTCAAGCGGTCCCGTCGCTGTTGTGGTGCCGCTTTAGAGTCCAAAAGCAGATTGATCATGTCGAATTTCCTCACATCGTAGTAGTCCACATTGATGGCTTTCAAGCGGAGACGCAGAAGCAGCATCAGTTTGTCCACCTCAGTGACGAGCAGGCGAGTCAGCAGGCTAGTATTGAGGTTCCTTTGAGATGGGAATCGCAGCAGGCTGCCATGACGATGGTAACGGAACATTTGGGCCATTAACTCCGTTAATTCCGACCTTATGTGAGACTCAAAGTCATAGCCAATGGCATCGAATTCCATGTGGCGGTAGTAGCGGGGAGGTTTCATACCAGGTTTTCCCACGGCATTTGAGATCCTCAGCAGCATAGCTTTGTTGTCCATAAGCTTTATCTCATCGTCTAGGCTAGAGTCATCGGAATAAGTACGACGCTTGGGATCCGTGAGGGCCACCATCACACGATGGTATCTCTTAGTGAGAACATTGCTGTTCATGGTTCGGAAAATCCTTACTTTTCTCTGTATGAGATCAATTTTTGAAACTTTGGAAATTTGGATAGTCTTAAAATAAGCCTTTTGAATTTAGACTGTTATTTCAAAACCCTGAAAGAGCTTACAGTCTTTTAGAGATTTAAGGGGTTAAGAGTTAAGGTTCAACCTATTTTAATAATAGTAAGAGTTGGGACATTTTAATAAAGACATTGGTTTATATTAGACATAAAAGCAAATGGACATTACACATAATTTAAATATTCTTTTCCATCAGATTGTTTAGCTTCTGCAGATTGACCTGCGAGGCCTGCAGCATGTGACCAAACTCAGTGTTGGCTATCTGCTTGAGCAGCTCCTCGAACTGGGCCAGTTGCTCGTCAAAGCGTTGACGATAGTGCTTCAGCTGCTCCGCCTGCTGGACGTACTGCATCAGAGAGGCGTGAACCTGCTTGAAGCGATCGCTGATCTCCTTCTGGCAGTTCTCAAGCTGATTAAGCTGGGCAAAGGAAGTGCTAGATGACTGCAAGCAAGTTGATGAGCATTAATTGACTTCTAAATAAGTAATTCCACTCACCATGGTATCCAGCTGAGGAGAATGCTGCTGACTGGCCAGGTGGGCCAGGACTAGCAGCTGTGCATTCCTGGCATCCACCTGGGAGCCACTGGCCAGCACATGGAACATAATGAGCATGTACAAAGGCTTGCTGCGGCTTTGATTGGTGGCGTACTGCATGAAGGATATGAGTTCGGTGCCCACCAGGGTAGAGGTGATCAGATCGTCGCTGAAATAGCAACGCAGTCCGCACAGCGAGCTCACACTCAGCTCCTCGAAGGCCACCAGCAGCACGAAGAGACGAACACTGAACTGGATGCCCCTCTCCTTGTGCGCCACCAAATACTCCACCTCCAGGGCATCGTGGCCGACTCCAGTGCTGAGATCTGCTCGCAGGCGGTACTGATTGAGCAGCCAGAGCATCAGGCCTTGGGTGTCGCAGAAGGCGCTCTGGGTCTGCATGCTGTTACCCGTGCTGCCCCGCTGATCCTCCTCCAGCAGCTTGCGGAATCGAACTATGCCGCGCTCCAGATGTAGTTCCTCGCGCTGCAGCTTCGCATTCACCTGGATGACTAGAGTATCCAGCAGGAACATCAGATGGCACTCGCGCTTTACCCGCAGATGCATGGCAAAGCCGTCACGCCGCTCCACGAAAAGGCAGTGCAGCAAGGCGGGAATCTCATCGCCGCACTCTTGGGTGGTCAACACATCAAAGCGGAACTTCTGGGCCAGGAGCAGGTGAGGTTTAGACGCATTCTGGCAGTAGAGCAGCCTGAGAGTGCGATCGTCCAGAACGCTCACCTGCCCGCCATATTGGAAGGTGTCAGCCGCCGGCGGCTGCTCCTGCTGTCCCCGTCTTGGCACAGGTGACTCCGAGAAAGTTTCCCCCGCCGGTTTATCCGATTCTTGAGGGGAATTGGTGTTGCTTAAAAGCACCACAACTCGGGTTTGCTCCATGGTAGAGATTTAAATAAAATTCACAGAAAAACACAAAAGTATTTCAGAGACTCAAAACACGACAAAAAGTTACATAGACCGCGTTTCACCGTTACTTTTGAGCTTCAATGGAAGGTAATGTTTCGTTCGGTAGCTTTTAGAGAAAGGTGGCATCGCTCTAGGTAAAATAAAAGGTGACGAACGCCACCATGATCCCTTGACTGAATAAGTGGAGTATGGGTTCAGAAAGAAGATTTTAATCGAATAATTTTATTTAACGAATTTTCAGCTTCAACTTCTTTTCTTCCTTTACATAACGAAGACATTTTTGGAAAGCCTTGACCACGCAAAATGAAAACATTCCTAAAATGGCCAAGAAGCCAAGAAGAAAAGTGCCCAAGACATCCAAACTGTGGTAAGTGAAAAAGTCCAGTTCCCTGCCGGCCACTCTCATATGAGTTGCTCCCTTGTGCCGCAGAATATACTCGGTCCACCAGATGGCCGTCTCCAGAGGCTTCATTGGACGATCCCTATACAGAGACGCTCTTGCTCTTGCCGCCTCTTCGAAGCTCTTCTCTGTCAGCAGCCGTAGGACTGTTGAATTAAAGTCCTGGCTGGTCATTTTCTTCAAGTTGAGAACCAAACCCAGACCTTGGCTTTTAACATGCTCCATATTATTGAACTGGTCGAAGAAGCAGGGCAGTCCCAGCATGGGCTTTCCGTAATGAATGCTTTCGATGGTGCTCAGCAATCCTCCGTGGGTTATGAAAAGCTTTACCTTAGGATGAGCCAGGATATCCTGCTGTGGGAACCATTTGCTAATAAAAACATTAGACGGCTTTCCAGGCAACTGATCATCATCGAACTTCCACAGGACACGCTGTGGCAGGTTGGCAAAGGTATCCATAAGTACCTTCCGAAGGTCCTGCGACAAAGATTTACTTCTGACATTGGTGCCCAAAGAGAAGTATATAACGCCATTCTCCCCAGCACCTTGGATGAATTCCTCCAATTCCTGCGATAAAGGTTTCGGCTCCTTATCAATATGCAAACCTCCCACCTCGATCATATTTGGTACATATGAGCGGGGTGAACTCAAAGTGAAATGCTGATTAACAAAGATCAAGGCGTAGTTTCGGGAAATCTCAGATAACGGCTGCTTATCGGCGATTTTCGGAAAATATTTTCTGTAGAGAGTCTCCTGCTTTCCTCGATGCCGCCAACTCCAGTTCATCCAAGCAATGGATCGATCTAAAAAGTGGGATAAGCGACCGCGAAATGTCTTCAAATCGTAGAGGTTAGATGACGGAGACTGGATGTACGACATGGGCGATATATTGCCCACAAGTCCATCGATTTTCCAGTCGGTGCCGTAGGGAGCCAGGCCAATTATTGGAGCCTCAAAGGTAGCTGCTAAGCCATAGAGGGCATCCAGGCGCCACAGATCCGCAATGACCAAGTCAAACTGAGCCTTTCCCGGGCTGAGAATCTCTCGACGCACTCCGTCACTACTCAGCACTGTCCTTGTCAGATTAAGAGTGTATTCATTGATAAAGTCGTTACCCTTCCAAAGGCTCTTAGGTTTATGTACAGATTTAAGAATTTCTGAAGGGAAAATGTAAAGGTTAAAACGGAAATTTTAACTAAAGTAGCTTACCTTCAAAATTATCAAAGACTTCCGGGACAGGTACATCGTATATATTTTCCACAGGCTCTTTTAGAGGAAAGGGATTCACAGATGTTATTTCGTGGCCTAGGGATGCTAATTTCTTGAGATAGGACAAGCCGAAAAAATAATGCGAAGGACTTGGTATAGGAAACAAAGCCAGGATTCGAGCAGCCTCCAGATAACCGGGCAGGAGACATGCCAGCAGGAGAAACCAAGAAGTTTTCATTTTCTGTAACGGGCTTGTGCTACCCTCGAGCTCTCTATGAAGACTGAATACCGAAGCCTGATAAGATCAACCTATATTACAAGGCGAGTGAAGGGAGGAATAATTTTCATAATTTCACTTAGATAAGCTAAACCAACAGCTGAAGCTGGCGACCTTGTTTTAATATTTGATCAATCAGTCGAAAGATTTATAAAGTTCAAGATTAAAGCTGTTGTTTGAAGTAAATAAATTATTGTTTTATTTATTTTTATTTTCTTAAAAATATGAAAAATACAAAATTTGTTAATCGTTATATTCTTGTTATCAATTTATATAATATTAAATAATATAAATAAATAAAATAATAAAACATTTTATAATTGTTTAATTTAATTTTAAATAAATTTTATTTTATAAATATATATAAAATAATATAAATTAATATTCATTTTATTTTGTTTATTTTATTTAAAATTCGATTATATTTTCCTGGCGCCACCGTACAGATCAATAACCAAAATTTATCGATAATTGCCAGGCTATCGACCCTCTCGCACCTCTAGCAAAAACTGTAGTACAAAAACGGAAAACGTTTTCCTCCTGGAAATAATTAAAGAAAAGCTCAACAGGTGGAATTTTGACACCGTAAAACTGCAGGAATCCGCGGAGTACTCGATTAGATAGGAAGTTCCGGCGGAAATAAAACCGAAAGTTATGCAGAACGCAGCTGTGGGGGAAACAGCTGCCAGCGGTTCCCAAAAATTACGCCGGCCGGACCTCTTATAACCCAAAGAGCACAAAGAGGAAACCGGAAGCCAAGCCAGACCGTCACCAGTATTCCCAAGCCCCCGATGTAGCGAGGGTGCTCCATAATTAAGTAAGATTTAATGAACAACAGCCGGACGCCATGGCAGCGAAGGAATCTTTTCGCGAGCGACAGACCCAGGAGTTGGAGGTTATTAAGGTAAGCAGCTGTTGAATAGCCGATGAAATAGTGACGAAATCTGCTTCTCCCCTTTCGTGCCTAGGCAATCTTCGGCGGCGATGTGGAGGATTTGCGACCCCAGACCAATGCGGCGGTGTGGAAGCCCACGGACATCAAAATACGGCTCACACCGCTGCGGGACTCGTCCAATGGCCTGGAGGCCTATGTCTGCACCAAGCTCCATGTTACCTGCCCTTCTAAATATCCAAAACTGTAAGCAAAAAAAGTTTCTATAAGAAAAGAATACCAATAATTATAATATCAATTTAAGGCCACCGAAAATCATGCTGGAAGAGTCCAAAGGAATGTCAGATCAGCTCCTGGAGGCGCTGCTCAACCAGCTGCAGGCCCAATCCCAGGAGCTACGCGGCGAAGTGATGATCTACGAGCTGGCCCAGACCGTGCAAGCCTTTCTCCTCGAGCACAACAAGCCGCCCAAGGGCTCTTTCTATGACCAGATGCTGCAGGACAAGCAGAAGCGGGAGCAGGAGCTACTAGACATGCAAAGGCAGCGGGAGTCGCTGCAGCGCCAGACCCTGATGGATGAAGTGGAGCGGCGCAAAGAGATGTTCAAGACAGAGGCCAAGCGGCGAGGTGAGCCGAGGCGCAGCATGAGCGAGTCGAATCCAAGGCATCCTAGCTCCTCGGAGAGTTCGGAGAACTCGTCGCCCTATTATCGTGGCCACATCTATCCCAGCAAGTGCCTGGATCATCGCAACACGGAGACGCTTTACTTCCACAAGGTGGGCAGGCAAATACAGCGGGGATGCTGTCTAGGTGAGTGCTGGACTTTTAAAATTATTTGGGAATTAGTAGTGAAGTCTAACCCTTTCCCAGGACACTCACAGCGTGGCTGCATTGCCTACACCGGCATCGACATGCACTGCGGCCAGCTGCTGTACATCACCGAGTGGAACATCAAGTACTGCCAGCTGGAGCAGCCATGCAGTGGCGGCGGCAAATGCCACTGGAGCAGCGAAACGAAATGTGCGGGCAATCACCGCGTGGACGAGGTCATAGCCTCCATAGAGAAGCAAGTGGCCACCCTGGCCCAGCTGCAGCACAAGAACCTCATAGCCTACGAGTGCGTGCTGTGCATCAAACGCAAGGAGGGATTGCTGGTATATCTGGTGCAGGACTTTCTCCTCGGCACCAGTGTCTTTAGCATCTCATCCTCGCTGGGCTGGTGCATGGATGGAGCTCGGATGGTGGCCCGTGGCATGCTGGATGCCCTTATATTCCTGCACAACAAGGGCATCTCACATAGCCATCTGCTGGATAGCACAGTCTTCATGGACAACACGGGCAATGTGCGCTGTTCGGACTACTCGCTGGTGCCCAACCTCCTGGAGCTGCTAAGCGGACCGGGTCAGAGCAGCAATCGAGGGGATCTGCCCGCCTTGGGTGCCCTGGTGGAGAGTCTTATGCCGACGAATAGCTACGAAATGCGCGACTTTGTGGACAAGTGAGTGTTGGATAACCCAAAGATAGCCTCTCCTAATCCCTTATTCCTTACAGGTGCAACTCGGACCGCACTCTGTCGGCTTCAGAGCTGCTCGAGCATCCTTTCCTGCGCTTTTATGTGGACAATGGTCAGCAGCAGCAACTAGTGCAGCTTCCTCAACAACGACACCCCAATCCCGGCCAGCGTGTGGCCACTGCTCTGCCCTACCAGATACCCACTTTGGCTTTAAGCCAATCCCGCCTACGAACCGAGTTCGAGGTGCTTATGTATTTAGGAAAAGGAGCTTTTGGGGATGTCCTAAAAGTACGCAATATCCTGGACAACCGGGAGTATGCCATCAAGCGGATACCGCTACCCGCTCGCAGCCGGCAGCTATACAAGAAGATGACCCGCGAAGTGGAGCTGCTTTCGCGTCTAAATCACGAGAATGTGGTGCGTTACTTCAACAGTTGGATTGAGAGCGTGGATGATGCAGATGCCGCCGAAATGGACAAGCTGCTGGGTGGAGAATGGTCACAGAGCCAGCAGGAGCTGAGCGGGAAGCCTGCCAAGTCGCCCCAGTTGGGCCCCACTATAGAGGAAGATGAGGACGAGGAGGATAGCTCCTCCAGCATGTGGAATGCTTACATGTAAGAGAAGCATAACCTGCCACTCCCGAGACGGATTAAGAATTGTTTTATTTTTTATGCAGGCCTGCTTTGGAGGATTCCGATTCGGATGGCATCGAGTTTGTGGACTCAAACGGGCAGGTGGCTGTCTATGACAACGAGGAGGAGGAAGAGGACTCCACCAGGGGCAAGACCAGCTCACCAAAGCCTCTCATGCAAGTCATGTACATACAAATGGAGTTTTGCGAGAAGTGTACACTACGGTGAGGTTTTTGATGCAAATTCTAATAAGAACTCTATCCTAATAAGATCACATTTAGCACCGCCATTGATGATAATCTCTTTGACGACACCGATCGACTGTGGCGCCTGTTCCGGGAGATCGCTGAGGGCCTGTCGCATATCCACCAGCAGGGCATCATCCACAGGGATCTCAAGCCTGTAAACATTTTCCTGGACTCCCATGATCAAATCAAAATAGGAGACTTTGGCCTGGCCACCACTAGCTTCCTGGCTCTGCAGGCTCACGAATATCCAGCACCCGTTCCTGTACACAATATCACCAGCGCCGAGGACGGAACTGGCACCGGGAAGGTGGGCACCACTCTGTATGTGGCTCCCGAACTCACGGGTAATGCCTCCAAGTCGGTGTACAACCAGAAGGTGGATATGTATACACTGGGCATTATTCTGTTTGAAATGTGCCAGCCGCCGTTTGACACAAGCATGGAGCGGGCCCAGACCATCATGGCCCTGAGGACGGAGTCTATAAGCATACCAGAAAGAATGCTTAAGGATCCCAAGTACGAGAAAACGGTGAAAGTAAGCTTTTCTTATATACTTTTTTACATAATTTAGTATCTGTAGTTCTTCCCCTTCAGATGCTGCAATGGCTGCTTAGCCATGATCCCGCCCAGCGTCCCACGGCGGAGGAGCTGCTTATTTCAGATCTGGTGCCTCCCGCTCAGCTGGAGGCCAACGAACTGCAGGAGATGATTCGTCATGCCCTGGCCAATCCGCAGAGCAAGGCATACAAGAACCTGGTAGCTCGCTGCCTGCAGCAAGAAAGCGACGAGGTCCTAGAGCACACCTACCACTTGGGCAGCAGTCGAGCCATGAAGTCGTGGAACTCTATTGTCATAGACGATATAGTTTCCCTCAATCCGGTGATTGAGTTTGTCAAGGCCAAGGTGGTGAATCTCTTTCGGAAACACGGGGCCATTGAAGTGGATTCCCCGCTACTGTCGCCGCTCTCCGCCAGAAATAGTCGAGCCTATGCCAGTGCCAACGCCGTGCACCTAATGACCCACTCTGGATGCGTGGTGGTGCTGCCCTGCGATCTGCGCACCCAGTTTGCCCGTCACGTGACCATGAACGGGGTGAATCTCATCCGGCGCTACTGCGTAGACCGTGTTTATCGCGAGGAGCGGGTTTTCAACTTCCATCCCAAGCAGAGCTACGAGTGTTCCTTCGATATCATAGCACCCACAACGGGCAGCCACTTGGTGGATGCAGAACTGCTGTCGCTAGCCTTTGAGATAACCAGCGAGCTGCCACGTCTCCGTGAACGAAATCTGGCAATACGCATGAACCACACGAATCTGCTGAGGGCCATCCTCATCTACTGCAATGTCCCAAAGTCGCAATATGAAGCCCTGTTTGAGGGCACCCTGGACTTTATCGAGTCGCGCATCTCCCGCTTTCAGTTTCACTCCAGCATCACGCTCATCATGGAGAAGTCACGCACCTCGGCCCAGACCCTGATGGATATGCTGTTGGCCAACTTCCTGTTGACCGGCTCGAGGAGCACTGTGGATGATTCTGCACTGAAGGCCCTGATGCGGGGCAAGGGGGAGGCGGCTTCGCTGGCGAGAGGTGCTCTGAGGGAGCTGGAAACTGTGGTGGGCCTAGCCTACAGCCTGGGCGTCACGGTGAGTAAAGGAATTTATACAAAATTCCCTGATCTTGCAGCTTCCTTTCCTCTCCCAGTGTCCCATTCACATTTGGGCGGGTCTGCCGCTCAGCTTCGAGCGTGCCAGCAGTGGTGGCATTGTTTGGCAGATGACTGCTGACCTCAAGCCCAATCGTTCTGGTCATCCCTCGGTTCTGGCAATTGGCGAGCGTTACGATGCCATGTTGCACGAGTTTCAGCGGCAGGCACAAAGCTTCAACTGCGCCTTGCCATCTAGGGGAGTGCTCAGTGGCGCAGGCATGACTTTCTATCTGGACAAACTGGTGGCCGCCGTGGAGTATGCCAAGGATTGTCGAGCCATCGATGTGGGCATCTGTGTGTGTGGCACGCGACCGCCTCTCAAGGATGTAACCTATATCATGCGGCTGCTCTGGTCGGTGGGTATCCGCTGCGGCATTGTGGAGGCCGCCAGCGAAGTCGGCGATGAAGCCCAGGATCTAGCTCGACTGGGAGCTCTGCATGTTATCCTGGTGGCCGAGAATGGTTCCCTTCGAGTGCGTTCGTTTGAGAGAGACCGCTTTCAGGAGCGGCATCTAACGAGAACCGAACTGGTGGAGTTTATTGAGAAACTTCTAAGAACGGAGGCCATAAGCGGAGCCACTGTGGACAACTCCAGCCAGGTGTTCAACACGAGTGCTGGTGGTGGTGGTGGTGGCGGTGGCAGCAGCGGCGGCAAGGAGCGCGGCGAGAATGGACTCAGCACATCCGCCTCGAATGCCACCATCAAGAACAGCTACAGCTACAGCCAGTTGCCGAATCTGCAGGTCTCCTTCCTCACCCACGAAAAGCCCACAGCCAACTATAAGCGGCGACTGGAGAATCAGGTGGCGCAGCAAATGAGCTCCACCCTGGCTCAGTTCATCAAGAAGGAGACTTTTGTGGTGCTGGTGGTGGAGCTGCCGCCGGCTGTGGTAAATGCCATTGTGGGAGCCATCAACCCGCGGGAAATACGCAAAAAAGAGACTGAACCGGAAATCAACTTTGTGATTGAAAGGTGAGTAAGTAAATACTCAAATTAATCTTAATTTAGTAAGAATTTATATCTTACAGATTTCCCAAATACAAACGCTATATATCGGATATAAATGACGAGGTCATGGACTATCTAACCGATGCCAAGACACCAATTGTGGCCTTGTACAGCATTTCCGATTCCTACTACCGCGTCATCATCTAACCCACAGCAAAACTAAAGATGGCCGAACTACTTAGTAGTGCTCGTCCCTAGGTTAAGCTTCGAATTGTCACAAAACTTAATTTTTGGCCAAAATTCTACTTTAAGTGGCTGTGTTCTCTGATGCCATTTACCCAATAATCGAATCAAAATTTGTTTCTATAAGTTTAACTTCAAAGTGGAGACTAAGGAAATTGATGAGATCCATCCAGAAATCTAAGTTTTTCAAGGTCCTTTTCCACACATTCGAAAAAACAATTCACAAGAAATCTGTTATAATTAGTTTTAGTCAATATTTCTTACTTGGTTTAAAGTAAAACGAATCCTATACTGATGCTGTTCACGCCTAAGTCAAAAGAATAGTTAAAAACTAAGAAAAAAAAAAATCATATGCACGTAAATATCAATTTATAGAAATATATTTTTAACTATACATTGAGATTTTAACTTAAAGTTTGTAAGTTTCAGTCTTTAGAGGGTAGCCAATTGTAGGGAAGGCACAAAAATCGGTACTGTCCGGTTTAATATAATCGGAAAAGAAAAACAATTTGGAAAATTTTTATGTTCAGAAATTTAAAAATTAAATTTTATGTTTTTTTTTTTATATGTTTCGTTAATAGCCATAATGCAACATTTTCCCTAATATAAAAATCGATCGATAAAATCGATATTTTTATACCCTTGCAGGGTTTTATAATTTTAGTCAAAAGCTTGCAAAGCGGTAATTTACGACCCTTTAAACCATATATATTCTTGATCAGAACAAAAAGCCTAGATCGACTCAGCCTAAAGCACTTAAGTTAAAAATTGAATCCCGGGCTAAGCTTCAAAATCACTTATTTTACACACAGAGCAAACCAAGATTTGAGTCTTCATCTATATTTTATAAATACGTACAAGTTTTAAACACGAAATTTATATAGCCTACAATAAAGTTGCATGTTTCAAAAGTGCCTCCCATTGGGAGTCCAAACAAAAATCACGCTCCGTTCTCTCCCGCGGATTTGTTGAGGGAACGGGCTATGCCCAAGGCGGGGCCTTGGAGGACCTTCCGCGAGAGTCGCATGAAGCCGGAGACGGGATCACGACCAAAGTACTTGACCTGGATCTCCTGACCCACCTCCAGGTTCAGCGCCGAGGGATGGGCAATCTTGCGTTGATCCAGCTGCGAGTTGTGCAGCAGGGCAGGTGGCATACTGGGATACAGGACGACCATGACGCCGGTGTCGCGCAGCTCAGTGATCTTGGCAGTGTAGATGCCGCCGAACTCCAGGTCCGGCACTCGCTCTTTGACCATGTAGCCTTCGATCAGCTCCTTGGCCTCGTCCATGGCCGCCTGCGAGGGTGCAAATAAGGAGAAGTTGCTCTCGCCCGAGGCTGTTAAGGTGGCTCCGGTCTCCAGGTAGATGCGTTTCATGTGCAGACCGCTGGGACCGATAAGTTGGGATCTCTGGTGCGGCTCCACGGTAATGGTTTCGCTCACGGGCCAGCTATCCTTGCGGTACTTTCTGGAAATTGAAATAATTTCTTGTATAATTAAATAAATTTTCCAGTTAGTATACTCACCTCGGCTCCCGGATGGCCTCCCCCATGATATCCAAAATCTTAGACTTGGCATCGGTGGCCTTTTGCAGCGACTCCATGACCACCTTGAGCGGAATGCCCGGGATCTTGAGGTCCGCCTGAATGGCAGTGAAGCCCTTTCTCGTGCCAGCCACCTTCATGTCCATGTCGCCCATGTAGTCCTCGATTCCGAGTATGTCGGTGAGAATACGATAGTCCTGCAGATGCTTGGTGTCCTCGTTCTCAAATTTGGTGACCAGGCCAATGGCCACGCCCGCTGCCGGGGCACTGACCGGCACTCCAGCGTCCATGAGAGCCAATGAACCGCCACACACGCTGGCCATGCTACTACTCCCATTTGATTCCAGCACTTCTGAGGTGAGCCTTACAGTGAAGGGGTAATCGTGTGGGAGGGTGGGCAGCAATCCCCTCTCCGCCAAGGCTCCGTGACCCAGTTCTCGGCGACCCAGAGGACCAATCCTGCCCACTTCTCCCGTGGCATAGGGCGGAAATTCGTAGTGCAGCATAAAGTTTTTGGCCTTCAGACCACCACTGTCCAGGGCAGCCAGGGAGTCCAGTTTCATGGCGCTCTCCGGCGAGTCCAGGCTCACCGTGCAAAAGACCTGCGTCTGACCGCGCTGAAACAAAGCGGATCCGTGGAGCGGCTTGTACATGTCCACCTGGCAGGAAATGTTCCTCAGCTGGTCGTAGTCCCTGCCGTCACATCGCTGGCCCCGCTCAAAGATCAGTTCCCGGAAGATGGTTCTACTGGTCTGGTTGAACTGCTCGCCAATTAGGGAAGGCTCCGTGTCCGGAAAGGAACTCCACACCTTGTCTATCACATTGGAGCGCACCTCATTGACTGCATTGTCTCGCGAGATCTTGTCGTGCTGTGCATCCTGGAAGATCTCCCTAAGCCGCATCTCACACATACTGCGAACTGCCTGCTCCAGTTCCGGGTCCACGGACGGCGGAGCTTCCACCTCCCTTTTCTGCCTGCCGTATGCCTTCTGGAGGCGTTCGATCTCATGAATGATGGACTGCGCCTCCCGAGTGCCCTGCTTGATGGCCTTGAGGAGGTCCTGCTGCAGCACCACATTGCCCTTGCCCTCCAGCATCACCACCAGGTTCTGTTTGGTGGCCGAAACGACCAGGTCCAGTTGGGAGGACTCCAGCTCCCTTCGGGTAGGATTGATCAACACCTCGCCATCACAGAAGCCAACTCTGGAAGAAAAATTATCAATGAAAATACTCCTATCTTGGGTTTCCCCACTCACCTCACAGCTCCGATGGGTCCATTCCAGGGAATATCACTCAGCGACAGCGCCATGGAGGCAGCGTTGATGGCCAGTATGTCCGGGCTATGCACCGCGTCCATGGCCAGCATGTTGCACACCAGCTGCGTCTCCGTGCGGTAATCCTTTGAGAAGAGCGGACGCAGGGAGCGATCGATCAGGCGGGCGGAGAGAATCTCCTTCTCGGAGGGACCCAGTTCTCGGCGCATAAAGTTCATGGGAATGCGGCCGGAGGCGGCGTTCTTCAGACGGTAGTCCACCACCAGCGGCAGAAATCCCTGACCCGGCGAAGGCTTTGGCTTGGCCACCGCGGTGACCATTACGGCGGTGTCTCCCATCTGGCACACGGCGCTTCCGTTGGCGAATCGTGCCAAGCGGCCGGAACTGAATGTCATGTTACGTCTGTGGGGGAACTCGTTGCGTTATTGGTTTAAACATCCCCAGTGGAGACCAAATACTCACCCATTGCTGAAGTTTACCTCGACGGAGGGGGCTTCTCCATTGGCGGCACTCTGGACACTTCTTTTGTGGCTGGAAATTGATGGGTTCAGGCATCTTAGGCGGTAGTTGAGGAGTTTCAGGGATTTCCTTGTGAAAATCATGGTCATTACCTAAAATCTGCCGGTTGGTTCCGGCTAACACGACATTTGAGTGCCCTGTAAACATGAAGATCTTTAATATGTTAATTGAGTTTGGCTTTTAGCTTACCCTGTATGATAAATATTTTGTATTATTTAAGTTGTAATTTTTGGTGATTTTTTTATTTTAGTTGAGACCTCTTTAAAAATGATAGTGCTTATTTAATTGAAGGCAGTGTGCAACATGTGTGCGGAGAAACAGCTGATTTGATGAAGTTGCCACACTATGTTACCAATTAATAGCGAAAAAGTCTGGCAACGCACCAGTGCTGCCAGACCGCGAGTTCAGGCTGGTTTCATCTTTTTAGTGTGCCCAGAGGCCGTGAAAGCAGAAATCTCAATTTTGTTCCCAGGTTAGGGGCTTTCCCTATAGATTAAGGGTTTTTTTTAAACTTGTAATAATACTATGTTATTAAAAAGCATTGTTTAATTCATGATTTACCCAACAATTGCAACAATTTTTGAACTGAACAAATCTAGAAACTTTCTGTGAACGAAAAGGTTTTCAAACCGATTTTTCAGAAGATGATCTCAATGCATATGTATAAAAAACATTAAAATAATGCAACAAAAAGATGTTTTCCTTAAATTTTATTAAACTAACTAATTTTTTAAATGCAAGGGGAAAACTGGATTTTTTAGGCGGAAATTTCAACTTTTTGGTATTTTTTAGAGGCAGAGCCAAAGTTTCATCTGGCAACACTGGTTAAAAACCTATAAATACGGGTGAACGGCGCATTCGAAAAAAAAAAATTCCAACAAAAACAACGGCGGAGAGTGCGTTGCTGCGCGAGGGAAATTTTTTCGAAAGCACTACAATTCGCGGACCATCGCCATTCGTTTATGCAAAATACCGCCGCAAAAGCAGCTAACCTGGCTTAAATCGTATAAAAACGCTCGAGTTTCTTGGCCATAGTTTTCTGCCCGCCGCGTGTGTCGTTGTGTGTGCGTGTGCATGTGAGTGCCCGCCCGCCCGTCTCTGTGTGTGTGCCCATCGGTGTGTGTGTGTGTCTCAGTGTGTGCAATCGTGGTGGTGAGCGCTGCCGCCGCCGCAACAACAACAAAAAGAAAACCGAAATCGACAAATGCGGTCAAATTGAAAAGAAAAACAAAAAGAAAAAGTATTCTCGGCCAGCGCAAAGCCAAAAAAGCAAAGCTAAAAAGCACAAGCCAAAAAGAAAAACGCAGAATCCCACGGAAAAGCCGGAAAAATTGCCTTCTAGGCGTGTCGCTGCTCTGCCCGCTGCTGCTTCTTCTTAGTCGCCTCAGTCGCTTCAATTTGTTTATGCTGTCCGACAGAGAGAAAGAGAGGGAGCGAGAGCGCACTCTTATCAACGGACAGACCAGACCGATTTCTTATCAGACCCGCCTGCCGCCTGCCGCAGATTGTTGCGAAAAGTTCCGAATAACAGAAATTATTAGGAAGCCGCATTAAGCGCGGTGAAATAGCGCAGAAACGAATTGGAAAATCAAACAAACAGGTAAGTCATGCAGACTAAGTTGAAAATAAAGCAATAACTACAGCGCGGCACAAGGCTCTTCTCTGTCTCTCGTCCGCCGTGGCGGCTTCCTCTTTTAATTGTCACACCTCATTAGCCGTCCCTCTCGCTCTGATAAGTGTTTTATGGCCGTTTCTAGCCATTTACACACGTTGCCTCTGTCGCCTGTCGTGGCTGGTGTGTGCATTGCTAATTAATTGCATTAACTTCAACGATGCAGGACCGCAGTTCTTTTCCCCTTATCCTCTCACTGCTCTTTTGACGTTTGAAAAGTGAAAGCAATGGGAATTGCGTTGGCATTTATCGCTTATCAGCTGGCTCTGCTTCTTCCCTTCTCTCCTCCACCGCACTCATTCTGCAAATATGCAATCGCACACACATACAAAAAGATACAGCCACGGGACGGACATGCTAAATAAACAAACAAATGCCCGTATG